GGTTAAAACAAAAATTGACTACTAGTAATCATTATGCAAATTAGGTAATTAGTAATTAGGCAATTCTTACAAAAACTGATCAAAACCTAGCATTAGTTTAGAGCATCTATGTACCAAGTTTCATTAAAATCCAATGAGTGGTTGTTTAGATATCAGTAGAACAGTCATAAAACAGCTAAAAATCAGCTAATTATCATGCAAATTAGGCAATTAATAAGTATGGATTTTTATCAAAAACTAATCAAATCTGCGCACAAGTTCAGAGCATCTATATACCAAGTTTCATCAAAATCCAATGAGTGGTTCTTTAGATATCCGTGGAACAGTCATGGAACAGCTAAAAATCAGCTAATTATCATGCAAATTAGGTAATTAATATGCATGGAATTTTACCAAAACCTAATCAAATCTGCGCATTGGCCCAGAGCATCTATGCACCAAGTTTCATTAAAAACCGATGTACGGTTCTTGAGATATCAGTGGAACAGACGGACACACATACACACACACATACATACACACACACATACATACACACACACACACACACACACACACACTAACCGCAAAGACTCCCATTTTGTGCTTCGCACATGGGAGTCAAAAATGCAATTGACAAAACTATTTTGATAAATTTGTAGCACCAAAATGGGTGCCATTTGGCCTACTTGAATCATCACGTGAAACAAATGAACATGAATGTGTATTCAAAATGCATGATGTCTGAGTGAGGAAAGACGAACACATACACGGAAGCCAATCCATAAGTCCTTGTTATGGAATTTGTCCAAACAGGGAACAACGTGTTAATACCATTGCAAATGAGATTACTTGACATGTGCTGAGATCTGAGAACACAATATACTAAGACAGTTAATTTGATTATGGTATAAAATATGCTAATTAAACACATTCTACATGACTGCAGAAATAAGCTGTATCATTCTTGTATTGAATGAGTTCTAGGGTAAGTACCTGACAACAATATGCTAAAGGATGATTTGGGCATTATAATTAATGCTATAA